AGGAGTAGCAGGAGCAGGAGCAGGAGGAGGAGCAGGAGCAGGAGCAGCAGGACCTTCGGGCGGTATTGATTGACCGCAAGACGCACTACACTCCAGACCCCTCGGAGGCCACCACGCCGCTCTTGGCTGACGAGGACGCTGGGCAGGACTACGTGAAGCAGGGTCCGCACGTTGGGAGCCATGGACCCTCGCTCTGCACCAGGGCGGGATGGTTGCAGAGTTTCTTTCTGGCATACACTGCGGAAGGATAGGACGGCCATGGATCTCCTATCGCGCGCCTTGCGCCGGTGGGTGCAGGGGCAAACTCCTCCAGAGCTGGACCAACACATGTGCATACAGCAACTCTTTGCACTGCCGAAAAAAGCTTGGGATGTTCGTCCGTTGGCTGTTGGTGCCTTCCTCCGGAGGCTTGCGCTCCATTCACTCTTGGCGCACCTTCGGGGCTGCAGGGCTGCATCCCAGACGCAGTTGCGGAAGCACAGTCTGCAGTCGGCAAGGCTGGAGGAATAGATGCCGCCTTCAAGGCCATCCAGACCTTGGTTGACGCAGGGGATGCTAGTGGCGTGCTCAGCGTGGACATTTCGAATGCGTATGGAAGCATCCGCAGAGACGCAGTGCAGCGGGCTTGTGCGACGCGGCTCCCTCGAAGTGCTTCTCTGGCCCACAGGTTGCTGATTACGCCATCCCTCAACATGTGGAGCATCAGGACCGGGGACACTGAGGTCCTGGAGCAAGGCGCTGGCGTGGCGCAGGGATGCCCCCTCAGCATGCTTCTTTTCGCCGTGGCAACTGCTGACCCCATAGACGCCGCTTCGGCGCAAAGTCAGCGGGAAAACCTGACTGTCCGCATTGTAGCGTACGCTGGCGACCTGTACGTGGCAGGCCCTGCCCAGCCTCTGGACAGGGCGCGGTACATTCTGGAACAGCACCCGGCCACAGTCGGCCTGCAGTTCAACCGCGGCAAGACAGAAGGTTTGGGCCGAGGACGACGCGGCTGCAGGCCTCTTGTCCCCTGACTTGCGCGCCAGGTGGGTCCTGGAGCTCCCAATTCTAGGGAGCACTTTATGCTGGCGGGACCAGGGCGACCCCCTGAACGTCGGCTTCGGCTCGTCAGCAGAAAGATTCGGGACGCTGACAGCCCACGTCACGGACATCGGCCACCAGCTGTTTGACCTTGTTAGTCGGGGCTTGTCTGTGCAAGTCGCGGCCGCTGTCTTCCGCTACTCGGCAATGGGCTGCCCACAACACATGATAAGGGCGCAGCTGTAGCCGTCAGAGGTGCGCCAGGCGTACGACGCTGCAGTCACGACGGTCTGGGAGCGCTTCCTGGGCATGAGTTTCTCACCTGCGCAGGTTGTGCAGGCCTCCCTGCTCCTGAAGGAGGGCGGGTTGTCCATGGGCCTCGTCTCCGAAAAGGGCCCACTCCGCTTTCTTTGCAGGCTGAATGCTTGACCTTGCGGTTGGGGCGCAAAAAGCCCAAGTATTTGCCACAGCCGCAATCTTGCGCGCGCTGCCAGCCACGCAGTACGAGATACAGCTGGCAAAGGTGGCCGGCCCTTGAGGCAGAGGCGCCGTCGCTCGTGAACCACCCGCTGCTGCTCCTGGACGGACAGCCACCAAAAGCCCTGCAGAAAATGATCATGGAGCACGTGCACGCCGCGCGCAGAGAGCGGCTCCTGGACTCCCTGGACACGCGGGCGCAGGCGCAGATCCGATCTGCAGGAGGGCCCGGAGCTGGGACTTTCCTTTTGGCGCCGCTGCCAGGCGTCAGCCCAGTGCCCAGCGGGGCGTGGCGCGTCGCCGCCCGCCGTCGCCTGCTTGCCACGATGGGCGCCGCCATAGCGCCGCAACCGCTCGCTACGCACTGTCAGCGCCGAAGCCAAGCCAGTGTATGCGGAAGAGCGCTGCGCGAGGCGCATGATGAACACCACTTTGAGGCTTGTAAGAAAGGCGGCGGCATCGTGCGTGCGCACAACGAAGTGCGGGACCCTCTGCTGCATTGGATTCGGCAAAACATCGACCCAGCTGCGCAGAAGGAACAACGATTGGAGTGCTTCCGCCGCTCTGCGGGCGCGCCAGCAGCAGCTGCCCAACCAGCAGCGGCGCAGGGCGGGGCTGGCGCTGCCGAAGAGGCCGGCCCAGCGGCAGACGTGCTGGACGTGGTGTGGCATCAAGACGGTCGTCTGGTTGCGATAGACGTGGCCATTGTCAATGCCGGCAGCGACGACGATGCCCGCCGGAGCGCCTCCGCGAGCCGCGATGGGGTGGCGGCCGCCGCGGCAGAACGTGCGAAGATGGCTCGCTATGTGGGATTGCCGATCACACCCTCCGTCATTGCGGGACGCGGGCCCCCAGGGGAGGCGGCGCAGGGCATCGTGAAATCGCTCGCGCATCACGCTGGCGACAATCCCGCTGTCCTCTGGCAAGCCCTGTCCATGCGCATGCAAACTGCGTTGGCGTGGCAGTTCGCCACCGGCGCATGCCACATTTCTTCTGTGGCAGGCGCAGGGGGGCTCTTTTAGATGCCCTGTCCTGCTCCTCCCCCTTGCTGCTGCGCGGGCGTCCCCGCCGCACCTCATCGTTGTCGTCGTCGTAGGGGGGCCGTGGCCTGAAGTGTCCAGCCCCATCTGACTGGAGGGGGGCCGTGGCATGAAGTGTTCGGCCCCATTTGGCTGGAACGTCGAGCCCTCTCCTCCCCTCAGTGCCTCCGGCGCGCGCGGCGCGAGCGCCTAAGGGGGGGGGTCGGGTGGCTCACGCAGCCCCGCCGCGCGCCCGCCTTTTCCGTTTGTGCCCCCGCATGCAGCTAACTGCGCCTTCCCAGGAGGATCCAACGTATGAGTAGAACGTTTGTCCTTGGGACCTGGCACGAAGGACTTAGGAAAAGCGCGCCCGAAGCATTGATTCCACTTCCGTGGGAGGCTGCCCGCGAATCTTCAGGGACACTTGCAGTGGCTCAACTTGAAATGTGTTGCTGGCGCCTATTCCAGTGTTCTGACTGCGTAGCCACCAAAAATGCTTAGCAAACATACCCTGGATCTCGGGTGGCACAGACCAATGCGGGCAAGCACCCGCTTGGGCGCATGATTAATTACTTAGCGATCGATAACATATCCACCTCAGCCTCAACCGGGCCAACTCCTGCTGACCCTGTCATCCTGACCTCCTGAATATCTTCCTCTGCCACCTCCTCCACCTCCATACTTCCCGAAGGACCTCTCAGACGCCATGTTGCCAGCCATTCTTCAGCAGAGAGAGCGGCGCCTTGAAGATGCCTGAAATTCCTGCCCCTCGGAGCCTTGCCGCGGTACGCGAGCAGCCTGATCAGCCGGTGTGCCTCCTTCAAATTACGAACTCTCCAAGCTTCATCCAACTCGTCAATGTTCTCCTTCCTCCACCTCCAATACTGCCTGCGTCTAACTTGGGAGCATTCCCGGCTGAATCAGCTAAGCTCCTCTTTGATGGCCTCCTCCTCCGTGTTGTGTGTTGAGACCCTGACGCAGAAAAAGACGCTTCAGCAGTAGGGCCTGCCTCTCTTTCCCTGCGCCTGGTAAAACTGCCTCCAACTATCTGTCCAGCCTGCTCGAGCAGGATATTGTTAAACATCGTGAAATATGTATCTGGCATGCCCTCGTTCATCGCTGCTTCTAGCTCCTCCTTCCGCTCAGTCACGGCCTCCGACGCCTTGGACAAATAACCTCCCTCCCTTCTGAGGATTTCATGGCCTCGAACTTCCACAATACGCGATCCGACGAACGTTCCTCAGCCGAACGGAATCCCATCTGAAATTGCAGTGCAGCGGCATGTAGTCCATCGGATGCCTGGACGGGGTGAGCTGGTGCTTGTGAGTGAGGCTTGCGAGAGGCCGTCCCGAGACGACCAGATCCACAGCGGGCGCGGTGCCAATCATGTAATCAACTCTGCTACTCTGATTTTCGTTTCCAAAACATGTGGGTTCAACTTTCTTCAGCAGGCCAAGAAATACTAAGCCGTATTCTTACATGAGTCCCCAACTTGTTGCCCAGCGCCCCAAGGAAAATGTTCCTTAGTAGCCAAAGCCTCTGTGACTGTGGACGTGTTAGCATATACCCAGCTCCCTTCTCCACGAATCATCCCGATCCCATCGTTCCAACTCAAGACAGATAAGCGGAGCTAAACTGGAATGCTGAGCCAACTCAGCACACATAGAACGCAACCACTCAACCAGCCGATTAATCGTTTGAAGGTAATTCGGGCTGCCCTGCAGCTCGCGAGGCCGAGGAGGAAAGTGGCAGCCCACGACCGCCACGTCCAAGCCCGACCTCTTCACGCGGATGCCGAGGCTTCGCCCCGCCATGCTCGCAGGTGGAAACCACTGTTATACAGTGTGTCGCTCTCGCAGCCCGCAGCTCAAGGTCATTGAAATGCCCGTGTTCTGATTCGTGCAGGCCCCTCTCCCGTAGCCCGCCTCCAGCAACATAACTCCTTGCACCATACCATACGCTTCTCCAGAGGCGAATCTGGACGAGCTCGGACTTGTGTTCCCACGAAGCACTGGTGATCACTTCTTCTTGTCGCTCTCGAGAACCGAGCCTGAGAGGATTCCAATGCAAGAGTTGCAACTTCCTCTGGGTGGCCACACTAGGCTGTGTCAAAGATATCGCCGTAAGACAGAAGATGCGGAGTGTATGTGTGTGTGTAGGTGTGTATATATTGTGTGTATGTGTGTAAATATTTGTGTGTCTGCGTTTGGTATTAGTCGGCGGGGTCCTATCAGGAAGCTCGTGCCGCCTGCAGGAGGAGCAGGAGGAGGAGGAGGAGGAGGAGGAGGAGGAGGAGGAGGAGGAGGAGGAGCAGGAGGAGCAGGAGGAGGAGCAGAAGGGCGCAGGCGGAGGTGGAGGTGGCTGGGGGGTCAGGAGCCCCAAGAGGCCTCGTCAGCGAGGCCCGAGGGCGTGCCCGAGCGAGACCCCACCCCGCGCGCCTCGGCCTCGGCCCCGGGCGCCCCCGCAGCGCGGAGCGGCGAGGACGAAGACTGGGACGAGGGCCACGCCATGGAGCACCAGGCCTCCACGCAGCAGGCCGCGGAGCAGGCGCGCGCCCCCGCGCCCGGCCGAGCCTCTCTCCCTCATCTTGCTTCTCCTCCTCCTTTCCCCCCTCCCACCCTCCTCTCGTCCTCCTCCTTCCTCCTCCTCCCCTCCTCCTCCCTCCTCCTCCTCCTCCTCCTCCTCCTCCTCCTCCTCCTCCCCTCCTCCTCCTCCTCCTCCTACCTCCCTCCTCCCCCTCCTCCTCCCTCCTCCTCGTCCCCTCCTCTCCTCCTCCTCCTCCCTCCCACTCTCTCCCTCCTCCTGCTCCTCCTCCCTCCTCTCCTCCTCGCTCCCTCCTCCTGCTCCCTCCTTCTCTCCTCCCCCTCGTCCTCCTCCTCCTCCGTCTCCTCCTGATCCTCCTCCTCCTGATCCTCCAGATCCTCCCCCTCCTTCGTGCCACCGTCACTTGTAGCTGTTCTTGTTCCCTGCTCTTCTTCTTCTTCCTCCTCCTCCTCCTTCAGCTCCTCCTCCTCCTTCTCCTCCTCCTTCTCCTCCTCCTCGTCCTCCTTCCCCCCCGCCTTTCCCTCCTTCTCTCCTCCATCCCTATACCCTATACAGTGCTCCTCTCTGTCACACCCACAGACGTGTCGTAGGGCGGGCTGGGCGACTCGCCGGAGACTTCCTCTTCTCTCCTCCTCATCAATTTCCTCCCTCCCGCTCCTCCTCCTCCTCTTCCTTCCTCCTCACGCCTCCTCCTCCCTCCTCCTCCCCTCCTCCACCTCCGCCCCTTCTCCTCCTCCCCCTCCGCCTCCGTCTCCTCCGCCCTCCTCCTCCTCCTCCGCCTCCGCCTCCGCTTCCGCCTCCGTCCGCCTCCGCCGTCCTCCTCCTCCTCCTCCTCCTCCTCCTCCTCCTCATCATCATCATCATCATCATCATCATCAGCATCAGCATCATCATCATCATCGTCATCGTCATCGTCATCGTCATCGTCATCATCATATTCCTCCCTTCTTCCTCCTCCTCCTCACCCCTCCTCCTCCTCCTTCTCCCTCCTCTCTTTCCTCCTCCTCGTCCTCCTTCTGCTCCCCCTCCTCCTCCGCCTCCGCCTCCGCTTCCTCCTCCTGTCCTCCTCCTCCTCCTCCTCCTCCTCCTCCTCCTCCTCCTCCTCCTCCTCCTCCCCCTCCTCATCCTTCTGCTCCTCCCCTCTCTGCTGTACTTTGTATGCTTTGACGGCATGTGAATCCACAGGGAATGCTGCCCCGCCCCCCTGGGGCAGGTGCCCCTGTGGAGGGGTGATCAAATCAAACCGTAGAAGCTAAAGAAGGATGGGACATGCACGAGAGACCCCCTCAGTTCAGCTCAGTGCACTGCGGAAACAGGTGTCGATGCCATCCGACCCGAACAACAGAAATGCTCAGGCCGCGAACTCCAAATCAGCCTGAGCCGCCAGGATCAGGCCGAATCTGGTGAGGAGCTGGGCAGGGTCCCACTTCTCCTCCCACAGGCCATCAGCCGATTCAGGGAGGGCATCTGACTCTGCTCCCTCTGGCATCCGAGCCCCCCTCGTGCGATGCACTGACGAGGGCGAGCAGGTCAAAGGAGGAACCTCGGTATTGTCGGACGGGGCTAGGACGAGGATCAATCCGTTTCAGAGCGTTCCAGAACGCTTTCAGGGCGTTCCGGAACGCTCTGAGAAGGCCGCGGCGCCCGATACATCCTCCAGAGCCGCCAGATCTCAGAGATTCTCGATTTATCCTCACCCGAGTTGATCCTCGTCCTGGATTCGTCTTATATTGGCGAGCCCAGGCGGGAAACCATCCCTGGGCAAACCTCTATATTTCTGCTGTCTTGGGTCCTTTTGTCGGGGGGCGGCCTGGACATTGGAGACGCGATAGACCACGCACAGCCTCCATATGTTAGACAAGACACCAGCCTTTCAGGGCGTGAGTGGTTTAGCGAATTTTGTCTTCTCTACCCCTCCTTCCCCTGCTCGGGGTAGTGGTTTACCCCTTCCCCTACCCCCTCCCCTGGGCCTGGGAGGGGGGCACCGGGTAGCTGGAGTTTCAAGATGGACCTCACGCATAGATACCACCACGCATGCCCTGAGGTTCCGGCATCGACCGCCGCTGGTCTGCCCGATGCTCCTCCCAGTTTGTGTTGGAAGCTGGCGTGAGTTACTTCACACCGTCAGTGCTGTCGCACAGACTTCCCCCCCTTTCGGACGCTTTGCCCACCTCTATTGGTGCATGTGGGCTGCGCCACAGTTGATGTTTTAAACGTCCCCCCTCGTTCCTTTACGTGGCACGATGCCGCGGCATTGGCACGTCGTGGCTTCTTCTTCTCTTCTCTTCTCTTATCATCTCTTCTCTTCTCTTCTCTTCTCTTCTCTTCTCTTCTCTTCTCTGCTCTGCTCTGCTCTGCTCTGCTCTGCTCTTCTCTTCTCTTCTCTTCTCTTCTCTTCTCTTCTCTTCTCTTCTCTTCTCTTCTCTTCTCTTCTCTCTCTTCTCTTCTCTTCTCTTCTCTTCTCTTCTCTTCTCTTCTCTTCTCTTCTCTTCTCTTCTCTTCTCTTCTCTTCTCTTCCTCTTCCTCTTCCTCTTCCTCTTCCTCTTCCTCTTCCTCTTCCTCTTCCTCTTCCTCGTCTCGTCTCGTCTCTTCTCTTCTCTTCTCTTCTCGTCTCGTCTCGTCTCGTCTCTTCTCTTCTCTTCTCTTCTCTTCTCCTTCTCTTCTCTTCTCTTCTCCTCTCTTCTCTTCTCTTCTC